AAGGAAGACTAAAAACAGCCTTAATTTTCATTAAAAGAGGACTGATTAAATAGATTATAGAAAAATATACTATTTAGTTCTTTTACAAAAAGAAGAAGAGGAGGAGGAGGAGGAAGAAGGAGGAGGAGGAGGAGAAGAAGAATCTGCTCTTTACCTACGGGTAAGGGAAATGTCCAATATTTTTCAAATGAAAAAGGCAGAGTGCCCAATTACCTTCCTGGCATCCTTCCATAGATTAAATGAAGGTTGTCGCCATAGTTGAAGGCACACAGATGACTCAGGAAGGAAAACCATGAGGTGGGCAGCCCTCGCCACTCAGGTCTGGCCCTGGAAACATGCACATCATCAGTGGACAAATGGGAGTTAAAGTCCCCGGAGCTCACCTGAGAGAGAGAAGGGTCCTGGGACTTGCCTACCGAGAGCCCAGGACATGAAGGTTCCCTGGTGTGAGGACATCAGGAACGGGTGTCAAGGAAGCCCGGGAAAGAAATGCTCTGAGAAGAAAGGAGGGGCCAGTTTTTTCAGGTGCTTCTGAAGGTCGAAGAAGATGGAGACTGAGACATGGCTGTCAGGGCTGGCATCATGGAGATTCATGGTGGCCTTGACAAGCTGTTTTTAGTAATACAGTAGGGACAGGAACATTGTTCCGATGAGTTGGAACAGGGCTAGGAGGTAAGGAGGTGGGAAGCAAGCTTCGAAACGGAGCAGAACAACAGGTGACAGGCAGCAGGTGGCAAAGTCATGGTACCCCCACCATCACACCCACACACCCTCAAAACACATTCGCACAGAACCACCCAGACCAGCCACTGTCGGATCTCAGCAGAGATTTTCAAGGGTCATGGCCACAGCGAGTAAAAGGTGGCCCCTGCCCTATAACTGTGCCCTATATACAGGTACTCAACCCTGCTGAGACCTCCCAAGCTGGCTCTGTTACTTATTATCAGTGTGACCCTGAGCAAGTCACCCAACTTCTCTGTGTGTTAGTTTTCTCACTCACAGAAGCAGGAAGAATCACACCTGCTTCGTGTGCATGCTGAGAGTATGAAATAAGGCCTGTGGGGCAAAGCCTGGCACAGAGATGTTTCTGGGCCACTAATTTAGAGGTAGTCTTCTCACAAAATGAAGAGTGGCAGGGGGACCATAGTTGATGCATTACTTAGGAGGGTTTTTTTCCTGTTTTGTTTTGTTTTTGTTTTCCGGTGCTGATGATGGGACCCAGGTCTTCATGCAGGCCAAGCAAGCAGTCTGCCACTGCCACACTTCCCCAGCCCAGGGGCCATTTTTTAAATTACAAAGTGGTGCTGTTAATTATGCCAGGACCGCAGGCATAAACCAGTGCAAATCCGGGACAAATGCGATGTGCCGTTCCCATAGGAGCAGCCATCTCTGTCCAGACAGGGAGGACTCAGGCCTGAGGGTGACTAAGGATGACTAAGATTCAGGGATTCCCGGAGTCCGTAAGCCAGGGGGTTCCCAAGGAGTCTGGGACACCATGGGCTCTTGTTAGGTTCCTCATCATAGCAATAAGTCAATAAGAAAAGCATCTTTGGTCCCAGAGCCCAGGCCAGGTGCCACCCAGCCACAGGCCCCTGGCTCTCACCAGAGGGTGCAGGGCGCAGGTCTGACCCGGGGACAGGCTCTGCCCCTTGACTTAACTCCAGGCAAAGACCTCTCCATCCCGCCTTCACCCCCCACATCTCCCTTGCAGGCATAGGTCTCCCCGCAGCCCTTCCGCCGAGGGCACACAGTCTGGCCCCCACTGTGGCCCTCCAAAGTGCACCTGGCTCCGTCCACGCTGTCATCGGGGACCCGTGGGGGGTGGGGGGGGGGGGGGGGGCCGGCTTCCTGGAGTGTCCTCACGCAGGGTTGGGGCCTTGCGCCGGGTGGGGACCAGGATGGGCAGGGCACTGGCACAGAATCCGTGGTACCGCGCGGGGGCGAGTCAAGATTGCAGCGTGTCCCACGGCCGCGGCGCTTAACAGTTTGCCGAGGGCCTCACGCCTCGAATCTCATTGGCGCCTTTGCCACAGCCCTGCCCATGGCCACCGACGCCCCCATTCCACGGGTGAGCAAACCGAGGCCGGGCCGAGCCGCGAGCTCTTCGGGAGCGTGCCCGGGGCGCGTGCGGCGCAGGGATTAGAACCCGGGGCCGCCCGCGGGCGGCTGAGGCTCCGCCCCCGACCCTGGACCCTCCCTCCTCGACCTTGGACCCTCCCTCCTCGACCTTGGACCCTCCCTCCTCGACCTTGGACCCTCCCTCCCCGCCGCGCGCCTCCGAGACCTCAGAGCTGCGCTGGGCCTCCCTCGGGCCTCCTCTGCTGCGGGCCTCGGGGACGCGGGGCCAGGCCCCAAGGTGGCCGTGCTGCTGTGCTGCTGACGGTAAGAGCGGGACAGGGGCGGTCCCCGGGGGTGCGAGTGCTCCCGTGCGCTCCCCTGCGGCGGGGCTGGGGGCAGGACGCGAACAGGCGGCAGAGGGAGAGACACCCCAACCTGCCTCCGCCTGCTCCCCCCTCGGTTCTTGGCGGGGTGACCGTTCCAGCTGCTGGAAGGTTCCTGGACCGACACCACCACCCCAGAACCACAAGCTCCCGAGCTGCCCGGAATGAAGGGAAACGGGTGGGAAGGGAAGGGGCTTCTGTCTTTGGAGGGCATCGTAGGGGGGGTGGCCAGCAAAAGCTGGACGCGGTCCCATCCCCGGAGCTGGGATCAGTAGGCACTCAGTAGACTGTGCTGGGAGCTAGTGGTGGGGGACTGCAGGGGTCCAGAACCGGATCCGCCAGTCCACAGCGCGGTCTGAGAGGGAAATTCTTTCCCCCTGAGTCGCCTCCCTCGGGTGTGTCTGGCGGGCGGGACTGGGCCTGAGCACCTGGAAGGTGGGGGCCCAGGAGGCAGCGGTGGAGGGCTTCAGGTGGAAGCAGCTCTTGGGGCTCCTCTTCTCCCGGGCTAGCAGGTGATGCTCCCCTCTCTACCTCAGCCTCCTGAACTCTCCCCAGGTGAGTGGCGATCAGGGAGGGAACCTTCTCTTGGGATTCTTACAACAGTCCAAGAAAATAGGACTTTTTTCCCTTTGGAGGTAAAGAAACGGCCAATTACATTAGAGAACTCTTGGGCCACTTTCAGCTAGTAAATGGCAGAGCTGAGGTCTGATTGCAGGCACGACTTTATGGTCACTGCATGGTTCACAGTCCTCCCCAAAAGCCAGGCTTGGGGCGATGAGAGTGGGGCACAGAGGAGGGTCTCCAGATTTGAGGTCTTCCCAGTCACCCCAGCTGTGGGAGATTGTGCTTCCAAGGGGCAGGCGGTCAGGAGGGTGATGCAGGAAGGGGTCCTCACCCTCCCTCTCTCCTGTCCAGGCCCACGCAGCTCCTGCTGAGCCTTCCCACCCCCTCTCTGAGAACTCAGCATTCTCTTGGAGCATTTAGTGAGTGCCTACTGTATGCTAGGCACTAATCATGAAGCCCTGAACAAAACGGAGTTGACATTTTAACTGGGGCACCAGACAATAAATACAAACAACAACAAAAAAATGATAAATACTTGAATTTCAAGTGGTAATTAAGAACTGTGAATAAAAGAAAGGGGGTAGGAGCAGAGCGACTGGAGACAGGTTCAGATCCAAGGTCATCCCAAGAAGTCCTAATGTTTGAACAGAGGTAAATGAGAAGGGTCCAGCTATGTGGGGTTCTGGAGGGAGAGCATTCCAGGTAGAGGAATTAATGTAAAGGCCAGCGGCCTCAGTGCAGCCGGAGTAGGGAGAGGCAGAGCAAGCGAGTGGGAGAAGACAGTGAAGATGTAGAATCCGGGGTTCAGTTCTAAACAGTGAGAAGCTAGTGGGGGTTCTAAGCAGGTGGCATGAGCATGACTGAATGGACTCAGGGGCGCACAAGCAGTAGCCTCAAGGCCAGTGAGGCGGCCCCGGCAGTGATGTAGATAAATAAGAGTGACAGTGGCTCAGAGCACAGGCCCAGCTCCAGGGCACTCACATGTGCACGCAGGTCCACACAAGCACCTGAAGAGGTGTCTGCTCTCACACCCATGGCAATACAAGGTACACTCAGTGACTCACCCAGCCACACCCTGTGAGTCACTCCAGGGCTGGGAGAAGGATGTGTAAGGACAGACCAAAGCACACCTCCTCACCACGAAGCCCTGGCAACCAGCATGGCTCAGGGTGGCCGGGACATCCCCAGGCCCAGCACGGGGAGGAGGGGATTGTCTCTACAGAGTCCCTGGATCTGGTGACCTTCCAGGAGCAAAGCCATAACCCTCCATGTGCACTCAACCCAAAATGGTTCCCATCGTCACTACCCACTGGCCAGGAGAACTTGGAGGCTCTGGCTCCTCTCCCAGACTTCGTTTCCTCTCTAGAGATTGGGACTCATAAACCCCAACTTCACAGGCTGATGTGGAGGCATGGACAAGGTGACAGGCAGGTGTGCAGCACAGAGGGAGGGGAAAGGTGGAGAGTACAGGCCCTAGCAGGACAGCCTGGCCTTGAGTCAGGCTTAAGTGAGGGACTTGACCTCTCGGCCCTTCACAGTAATAAATAGCTGGCATTTCATGAACATTTACCATGTAGTGTGTGCCTTGCAATTTTATGTCGTGATTATCAGCTTTTCATCTGTAAATGGGGAGCAGAGTCTATCTGCCCCGTGAGGTCATTATAGGATTAAGTGAGCTTCTGCACACGGGGTGGTTAGCTTCATAATTGGCTCATAGTAAATGCTCAGTGAATGGTCACTGTTAGCAACAAGCACACATTCCCTTCTGCTGGCTTACTAGCTCTGACTGTGAGCAGGTTACTTGTCATTGTATCTCAGTTTCCTATAGGAAAGGGAGGAATAACATGGGAGGAATAATAGTCCCAATCTCAAAGGAACACTTTGATGATTGAACTTGTCTGTCCACATAAAGAACTCAGAACAATGCCTGGCACCTAGTAAATGTTCAATAAATGTTCATTAACATGACAGTTTTTCCAATCATTCCCTCAGGTGGGCGCGGTCCCCCTTGTCCCCACCAGGCACCATGGACTGGAAGACGTTCCAGGGCCTTCTGAGTGGCGTGAACAAGTACTCCACAGCATTTGGGCGCATCTGGCTGTCAGTGGTATTCGTCTTCCGGTTGCTGGTGTACGTGGTGGCCGCAGAGCGCGTCTGGGGTGACGAGCAGAAGGACTTTGACTGCAACACCAAGCAGCCCGGCTGCACCAACGTGTGTTATGACTACTTCTTTCCCATCTCCAACATCCGCCTGTGGGCCCTGCAGCTCATCTTCGTCACCTGTCCCTCGCTGCTGGTCATCCTGCACGTCGCCTACCGGGAGGAGCGGGAGCGGCGGCACCGCCAGAAGCACGGGGACCAGTGTGCCAAGCTGTACAGCAACACCGGCAAGAAGCACGGGGGCCTGTGGTGGACCTACCTGTTCAGCCTCATCTTCAAGCTCATCATCGAGTTCCTCTTCCTGTACGTGCTGCACACGCTCTGGCATGGTTTCAGCATGCCGCGCCTGGTGCAGTGTGTCAGCGTGGCGCCCTGCCCCAACACCGTGGACTGCTACATCGCGCGGCCCACCGAGAAGAAGGTCTTCACCTACTTCATGGTGGGCGCCTCTGCTGTCTGCATCGTACTCACCATCTGTGAGATCTGCTACCTCATCTTCCACAGGGTCCTGCGAGGCTTGCACAAGGACAAACCCACAAGGAGCCTCCCATCCTCCAGCAGCCGGGCCTCCACCTGCCGCTGCCACCACAAGTTGGTGGAGGCTGGAGAGCTGGGTCCCAACCCAGATGATGACACGCTGCAGGCTTCGGCACCCAAACTGAGCCCCGTCTGACCACGTCTGGGGGCGAGGTGAGAGGGGTTGCATGGTGAAGAGGTCCTGTAGGTGCTGGGAACTCCCACTTTGAACTCACCAAGCTCTCCAGTTTCATTTGGGGCAGTTATTTTTGCTGCTGGGTACTGTGCTGTCCACCTGGATGTAGCTCACACTGCACACCCCCACGGAGGAGGCAGACATTTAAACAAGCAAATGAACCTAATATAAGCATGCCGGGGAGCAGGGCTCTTTCCTGACCCCTAAGGGGACAGTCAAGCCAGGCTTCCCTAAGGGTATAGCACTAGAGGGGTGAGGCATGCTCCCAACGGTGGCCTGGGTGCCACCAGAGGAGGGATGTTTGCCCCAGGCTGGGTGCACCAGGCTCCCTCTGGAGAAGCCACCAGGCTCCACAGGTGGGAAGGTCTCCAGCACAGGAAGTCTGCAGGGGGGTGTGGGAAGAGGCAACAGTTCTAGACACCCAGGGACCCTCCTCCCTCAGCAGCATCCCCTTGCCCCCAAACCTTCCCCCAGCCTCAGTCAGCGGTGCTCTTGTCTTCCTCCCTCCCCAGGTGTTCAGCCTGGTGCCCTCTGTCCCCAGGAACTCAGGTGGATATGCCAATAGGAACACCCGCAAGGCAGCTCCTTGAAATCAATAAAGCTGTGTTTTATACAGATTGGCTCCATACTTGGTACTGCCACTCACAGCTCCCTGACAGCAGGGAAGAGCCGCGTGGCTGGTGGGTAAAGCTAGGGTGGAGATGGCTGGGGTCAGGCAGAGCTGGGATTGACAGGCTGGAGCCAGGGAACCTGATACACATGTTGGTATTCTAGCTGTGGACACAAGAGGGCGCTGTCCTCCCTCTACAACCGCCCCTCTAACCTTCAGAATTAGACTCTGCCCTGAAGACACTCAATCACTGCTCTTTTCATTAGGCAAACCACACTCCCTCCTCCTTTGTCACCCAATCACTGCCATCACAACCTGCGTCCCCACCCTGAGTACACACAATCCCTGCTGTTCACACTCATAACAGGCCATGTAACCTGCATGCAGTCCAAGCCTCGCCCAGCAGTTCATTCAGCCTCTTCCATTTTCCCCACACCAGACCTTACCAGGACTCTGTGACTGCACAGGGGAGTAGGATCAGAGCCTGAGGGACACAGAAACAAACTCACCTGCTCTGGCCCCCCGTCGGATGGCTCACAGCCCCACTTCCAGCATTGACTGACCGGGCATTCAGAGGACACCAACACCCCAGGCCAGACCGGAATGGGAAGCAAAAGGGGGTACAAGGATAAACCACCCCAGAGGAACATTTAGTGACCATCAAGGCCAAGGTCAGGAGCCAGAAAAGCCAGAGCCAGTGCAAGCAGAGGCCAGGGCACTGTGGAGACAGGCTGTGGCTCACTTTTGCTGTCCCATGTGGCCCTGGCAGGCGGATGAGCCAGCTGAGTTTAAAGGGCCCAGGGCTGGGCTACACCGTTCACCACACTCCCAGGACTGATCGTTACCGCTTCACAAGCAAACCTTGGACTGAGCTCTCAGGACCTTAGTCTTGGCATCCATACAAAAAGGAACTGGGTCCCAGCAGAAAACAGATGGTCCATTCAAACCAGGTAGCTTTAAGGAGTTTCCAAGAAAGACTGTTTTCAAAGATGTGGACATGATTAAGGGAACCCACAAGGGATACTGCAGTACCTTGGGGCTAGCAGCAGGGTAACATCAGCCAGCAGCTAAGAGATGCATCCCACAACAGCAACCAGACAAATCCCTCCTGCTCTCCCACCTCCTGTTTGCCTGCCAGTGGCTCCCACTGACCCAGGAGAAATCAGAGGGGAAGGGAGCCTGTGAAACAGCCAATACAGGTCAAGGTCCCAGGCACAGCAGGGTGGAGAGTAGCTCTCAGGGGCAGGGAGACTTTACTCAACACAGCACTTGGGACAGTGTGTACCAGTAGAATTGTTATAGGGATCAAAGGAGACACTGTAGATGAAACATAAGCATGATGTGTCCCATAAATACCTGTGTGTGCCAGTGCTCAGGAACATCTCTGCCTGATGCTCAGGCTACATGGTAGGTCAGGACTAGAGGGTCATAAAGTCTCTGAGAGGCGTGATCTTCGCCTACGTGCTGCTGTGCATTCCAGTATCTTCCTGGGTGGTTCCAGCTGCCTGGTCAAGGGTGGCCTGGAAGCCAAAGCAACCAGAAAACATAATTGGCCCTCTGAGTAGGACCTGAGGGCTCGACATGGGCTGAACTTGCAGTCCTGGCCACATTTCTCCAGGATGCAGGCCAAGACCACAAAGGAAGGAACATTCCAGCTTTGCACATCCCATCTTTGGCCTGAGAGCTGTTCTGAGCAAAGCAGCTCACTGACTTCATCCAGCACGGGTGGGGCTACTGTTCACCAGAATCCCCACAAGGGACTTGCTGTCACCACAAGGTGGCTCTCATGTCCCTTTGGTGTTCTCTTCTGAGAATACACCTCTACCTCCCTGTCCCCCACCATACCAGGATTCACTGCAAGTCTCCCTAAATTGTGCATATGATGGATGGAGACGGCACATAGTCTGTAAGTCCACATCTACTGCACACAGTCACGGCCACCCTGCAGCCCAAGGTAAACAGGAGATCCTTTTGTCTGCATTCACCCTGGTCAAAATCCCCCAATGCCATATGTTGAAATCCTGTCCTCCAGTGTGATGTATTAAGCAGTAGGGACTTTGGGAGATGGTCAGGTCATGAAGGTGGAGCCCTCTTGAGTGAGTTTAGTGCCCTTATCACGAGAGAGGATCCAATGAGAAGGTCACCATCTGCAAACCATGAAGAGGGGCCTCACCAAGAACCCGACCATGCTGGTACCCGATCTCAGATTTCCAGTCTCCAGATCTGTGGGAAAGAAGTGGCTTTGTTCAAGCTGCCCAGGCTCTGGAACTCTGTTATAGGGACCCACGTGACTAAGACACCCTGTCACCTCTCACCTGGATTTTGACTTCCATCTCTCTGCTGCCTGCCCCAACTCTGGGAGGCAAACTCTGAGAAGAGGTGGGGAGTGCAGAGAGAGTGCTGGGGAGTTACCCCTGCACATGGGAAACGGAGAGCAGGATAGAGCCACAAGATCCACCACAGGAGCTCTGAAGCTAAGACTGGTCATGAGGCGTCCTGCACTAGGCAGAAATGGCTGGGCCCTCAACCACCCCAGGGCTCCATTATTGCCCAAACTCAGCCCAAGAAGCACTGGGCCATCTGGACAGCAGATGCAGACCTGAAAGTGCTAGCCGTTGGAGGCCAGCTGACCAGACTCCACGCTGGGCAGAGAGTGGGAGATGTCTATTTGCCACCCACCCTCATAGTCTCTTCCTAGCCCAGTAGCCAGGGGGATCCTGTCAAAATCTAAGCTAGATAAAACCTACAAAGGCCTCTTATTTACGCAAGGCCTACAAGATCTGCCCCACCCAACCTCCACTGCCTCCACCCCACAAGTGCTTTTCTGTCCTCACCTCTCCTTGGTCACCCACTCCAACCACATCTTGGCTGTTCCTCAAGCAGGACAATCTCCTGCCTCAGGGCTTTTGCATGTTCAGTTCCTCAAAGAGCCACAGTGCTTCCTCTCTTCCTTCACAGCTCACCTCCCATGTCGGCTGCTTAGTGCAAATCTCTCTCTTCTATCTGAGGGTGAAACTGGCCAACCTTGCACTTTCAAGCCTTTTTACCTGACCCATAGCACAGATCACTAACATGTCCCAATTTTATTTGTTTGTCGTCCCCCAGCCGGAATGTGAACTCCTTAAGGACGGGGATTTGTGTGGGTCCCCTGTTGAGTCTCCAGTGTCTAGGAGAGTGTCTAGGACAATGCCACTGCACCTGGGAGGTGCTCAATATATATCTGTTGTCTGGTGTGCTGCTAGGTGCTGGGATATAAGTGAGACCTGGCCACCTGCCCTCAAGGGGCTCACAATCTAATGGGAGCAATATAAAGAAAAAGGAGTTGTTTGATGGGTATAGAATTTCAATCTTGCAAAATGAAAGGATCTGGAGATCTGTTGCACAACAATGTGAATATACTCAATATCATTGGAATGTGATTTTTTTTTTTTTTTTTTTGGTACCAGGGATTGAAGCCTGGGGTGGGGGATGGGAGGCTTAACCACTGAGCCACATCCCCAGCCCCTCTTATTTTTTTTTAATTTTGAGACAGGGTCTCACTCAGTTGCTTAAGGACTTGCTAAATTGCTGAGGCTGGCTCTTTGAACTTGGGATCCTCCTGCCTCAGCTTCCCTAACTACTGGGATTATAGGCAGGAGCCTATAATTTTGTACCTGGTGCAATTAAAATTTTTAAGATGGCAAATTTTATGTTTTATTTTTTTTTTAAAGAGAGAGAGAATTTTTTAATATTTATTTTTCAGTTCTTGGCGGACACAACATCTTTGTTTGTATGTGGTGCTGAGGATCGAACCCAGGCCGCACGCATGCCAGGCGAGCGCGGTACCGCTTGAGCCACATCCCCAGCCCAAATTTTATGTTTTAACCACAATTAAAAAAAAAAAAAAACAATAACAGCAGCAATGGACCACAAGGCAGTACCTGAGCCACTGAGCACACACAGGTACACCTAACCCAGGGGCAGCGAGCGAGCAGATTGCTGGGAAAAGTGACATCTGAGCAAACACCTGAAAGACTGGGAGTCTTCCGGAAGGAGTCAGGATCAAGTTCATGTTCCCCAGAGTCAAAGAATGAACAATGCATACAAAGGAAGCGAGTGAGCAGGAATTTTATTTTAAAGGAAGGTGAAAGAAATACTCAGAACTAAGCACAGTGCACCTGGGAGAAGGAAGATCGCCATCTAAGTCTTACAGCTCCTCCTTTGGAAGGCACATGTGAAGTTGATGAGCTCTTCCTGATTGGTTCTTTTGCTGCTGTTGTTCTAATTAGTGATACATGACAAAGGAGGATGCATTTTGACACATCATACATAAATGCAGTATAACTTCCTGTTCATCTGGTTGTACATGATGTAAAGTCACACAGGTCATGTAATCATATATGCACATAGGGTCTTGAGGTCCAATTCAGCTAACCTTCCTACCTGTATGCCCCCTACCCTCCCTTCGATCCCCTCTATCTAGTTCTCTATTCTTCCCCACCACTGTCACCTTATTGTGAATTAGCATCCACATATCAGAGAAAACATTTGGCCTTTGGTTCTTTGGGGATTGGCTTATTTCACTTAGCATGATGTTCTCCAGTTCCATCCATTTACCAGCAAATGCCATCATTTCATTCTTCTTTAAGGCTGAGTTTTATATATATATATATATATATCCCACAGTTTATTTATCTTGATTGGTTCTTGATATTTCAATTGTTCCACTTGCGAGAGTGCAAGCCGGAAGCACATGTTGGAGCATGTTAAAATAGCTGTTCTCATGTCTGCCCTCCCGTCGACCTTTACCATTCCTTCCCTACTCTCCACTGCCTATCTTTTTCTATCTCAGTAGGGACCCGCATGTGAGGGTGCTCCAGGCAGTGGGAACAGCATGGACGAAGACAAGCGGTCACAGAGAAACTCAAATAATTAGATATGCCTGGGCAATGGAGGGCATGAGGGAAAGGAGTGGAAATGGAGAAGGGGTCGAGGCCTGGATGGGGGAGAACATAAGCCTCACCTGGAAGACAGTGGGGAGCCATGGGAAAGATTTAAACCAGGCAACATTATGGTCAATTCTAGGCAAGGGTGGAGGCTGAGGGGAGGGGTGGAGCTAGAGGCCAGGAGACCGGTTGGAAGGCTGCTGGAGAGTTGGGAGGGCCAGAGGTAAGGAGGATGTGTGGGGTTCTAGGAATGTTTCCCTCACAGAAATGTCCACAGTTCTGGACAGTGTTGTTTTGGCTGGTTCCAGCTCCTTCTTCCTCTGGGGAAGGGACCAGGTTACTGAAGCCCTGACCTCTAGGACCCCTAAGGAAGGGGTCAGAGCAGGGTGAGGGCAGCTTTGACATCACCCCATTCACCCACTTTCCCCTCCTTCCCCTTCCATTGGGTTAGGAAGGCCTCAGGAGAGCCAGGCACAGCCGCAGCAGAGAACACTGGAGCAGAGGCAGGGAGGCGTGGCGAGAGCCAGTCTCTAGGGGCCTCCATTCCCATGCCCTCAAGGGTCAGAACTAAGTGGGCGCAGTTGTCCGCTTTGGAATCCCAGGAGTCTTGGCTTGGCTTGGCCCTGAGAGAAGGGCCTAGAAGGGAAAGCCAGCTCAGCCTGAACCCCGGGGCAGCCATTGCTGGAGTTCTGAGGTCTGAGCCTACACACTTGCTGTCCCAGACAGAACGAACCTCTGGGGCTGTCCCTGAGCTTCCTGCCTTTTCTGCCCCCTCAGAGACCACCCTGCAGGACCGTCTCATCACAAAGTTCTTATCACAGTGTTTTAGACACTCGTTTGTATGTACCATTCAGGCACAAAGTGCTTAAATTGGATCCACCATCAATCCTGCACCGTAGGTCCCATTACTAGCCTCTTCTATAGAGGCAGAAACTGAGGAACTAGGGCTTAAGCAACTCTGGGAACAGAGACACCATCTCAAACCTCACAGTGTCGGTCCCTACCCCCCTGCCCTGGAGCGCTCTTCTGCTCCACCTGGCTACCCGCAGTCTCCTCCAGGAAAAGTTCCTAACCAAGTCCCGTGACTTCCCTGCTACCATCACCCAAGGGCTGATGCGCTCAATTTCTGCACCAGTCGTGAGAACTGGACCCAGAGACCAGGTCAGTCTGGTTTCTCATGGTTTCTCCACCGGTGCACTTAATCCTCATGGATCTTATTAATGTTCATTAATCCACACAGGAAGCCTGAATAAATGACCATGTGCTCTGCCTCTCCCTTTAATTTCTTTGGATGCCCCCTCCTGCTTAGAGGCAACCTATTGGGGAGGAGGTACCCCCCCACTCCCAATCTCAAGGGCCTCCAGGGAATTGCTTAGTGCCCTGATTCTGTAAATTCGCCCAGGAACAGGGATGGTTGAGACCTCGGGAAGATCATGTTCTAGGTGAAGACCCCCCAGATCCACCTCGGACGGTCTGGAAGTCTGGAGTAAAACCCCTCCCTCCCATACGGTTCCCATATCCTAATGAGCCTTAATTGCCAAATCCTGGCCCATACCACCGCCACCTAATAAGTGGTCCCCAGGGCCCATCCCTCACAGCCTCTCGGCAGGCTGCGCAGATCCGCAAATTCTTAATATAATCCTTGCAAATCCAGCCACCCTAAAAGCTCCTGGCCTTGAACTCTTATCCCATGGCCAAAGAAACAGGCGCAGAATTTGCCATCGGGAATTCGATGGCCAGAGGTAGCAGAGGGGAAGAGGACTTAGCCCTCCGTGGACCCCCAAATCACAGTGCCACCTCCCGGGGTGAGCTCAGGGAGTCTTCCCCTCCCAGTCCCCGCCCCGCCTCCTCAGCGCCCGCCGCCCGGCGGTGGCGTTTCCTGCCCCCACCCCGCCCCCTCGGCGCTATTTAAGGCGCCCGCGGCCAGCGCGGTCCAGCAGGGCTCCCGCGGGCGCCGCTAAGGCCATCGTCCCCCACCTCCAACTGGGCGGGCCCGGCAGGCTCGCAGGCGGTGAGTCGGGGCAGGGGATGCGTGACACGGGTCCAGCCACAGCCAGGGGCTGGGGGTTGCTGCGGGGCGCCCGCCGAGATCCCAGCTACACAGGCAGGCAGCGCACACCTTGCCTGCCTCTGGCCAGGCTGCGCACCAGGAGCGGCTTCCCCCTTCCTTCACTGAATCCTGACGGGAGGGGACACAGAGGTGCTCAGCCGGTTAGTAAGAAGGAGGGGAGATTTGAACCCTGGTCTGGTTCCATTGCCTGGCGCTCAACAGCTTTGCCCCCCCGGAAAAGGCACTCCCTCTTCTCTCCCCACCACCTTCCTTCCCCCTAAATGTTCTGGGAACTTTGAGGCCTGTGTCTCCACCCTGAAAAGACAATTCCTTTCAAAAGTCTAAAATTTGACAGAAGCAGCTTTGGAGGTCAGAGATAGGGCAGAGGAGAGGACAGGACCAAGAAGCCCTATTTAAGTGGCAGGTGCTCACTATTGTTGCCAGGTGAAGTTAACGCAGGAAGCCACCTTCAGTTTCTAAAACCTCACTCAGGTCCATTCCCCACCCCCACTGCAAGCCCAGAGTACAGTGAGGCCAGCTGGGGTGGGGGGTGGGGGGAGCCTGAGAATTTGAGCCCCCTAAGAATCTGAAATTAACACCTCTACCACCCACCACTCACCCACCCTGCTATCTGGGAATAGCCAGCCTTGGGCAAGAGGGAGGAAGGGTATGGCACAGCTGTGTGACCTTGGATAAATTCCTCAAATTTTCTGATCCCATAGGCAAAGGAGCTTCAACTCAATCCAGATCTCCTTGGGTCATCCTGGGGCTCTGGGTGGGGACAAGCAGGCACAAACACATGAATACCCCTTGCCCCTGCCATTCAGATAAGTAAAACAAGGGCATACAACTTAGCAGCCATCATCACAAAGCTCTGCTTGGGACCCTGACTCCTTGCTGAGTCTGAGTCTCCTTGCAGGTAGAATGGACATGGGAGGACCACACTGCATTCATACCCATACACACACACACACACACACACACACACACACGAGGCTTGTTGCTAGGTCAGACTGAGAAGAATGCTCCGTTGCCATGCTGATATGCTCTGTCTCCCCGCAGACAGAGGCCGCGAGCCATGGGTGACTGGGGCTTCCTTGAGAAGTTGCTAGACCAGGTCCAGGAGCACTCGACTGTGGTGGGCAAGATCTGGCTGACAGTGCTCTTCATCTTCCGCATCCTCATCCTGGGCCTGGCTGGAGAGTCAGTGTGGGGCGATGAGCAGTCAGATTTCCAGTGTAACACAGCCCAGCCGGGCTGCACCAACGTCTGCTACGACCAGGCCTTCCCCATCTCCCACGTGCGCTACTGGGTGCTGCAGTTCCTCTTTGTCAGCACGCCCACCCTGGTTTACCTGGGCCACGTCATTTACCTGTCCCGGAGAGAAGAACGGCTGCGGCAGAAGGAGGGTGAGCTGCGGGCCCTGCCAGTCAAGGACCCACACGTGGAGCGGGCTCTGGCAGCCGTAGAACGTCAGATGGCCAAGATCTCCGTGGCAGAGGATGGTCGCCTGCGGATCCGTGGGGCGCTGATGGGCACCTATGTGGCCAGCGTGCTGTGCAAGAGCATGCTAGAGGCAGGCTTTCTCTATGGCCAGTGGCGCCTTTATGGCTGGACCATGGAGCCTGTGTTTGTGTGCCAGCGTGCACCCTGTCCCCACTTCGTGGACTGCTACGTCTCCCGCCCCACGGAGAAGACCATCTTCATCATCTTCATGCTGGTGGTTGGAGTGATCTCCCTGGTGCTCAACCTGCTGGAGTTGGCGTACCTGCTGTGCCGCTGCCTCAGCCGGGGGATAAGGGCACAGCAAGGCCGGGACACAACCCCCGCCCAGGGCACCTCCTCAGACCCTTACCCTGAACAGGTGTTCTTCTACCTCCCCATGGGTGAGGGGCCCTCATCGCCACCATGCCCCACCTACAACGGGCTCTCGTCCACTGAGCAAAACTGGGCCAACTTGACCACCGAGGAAAGACTGGCTTCCTCCAACCCCCCGCCGCTCTTCCTGGACCCACCTCCCCAGACTGGAAGGAAATCCCCCAGTCGCCCCAGTACCTGTTCTTCCAAGAAACAGTATGTGTAGGGGCCTGGGACTTATGACATTCAAAAGAGGGGTCCTGAGAAATCCGACTGCTGTGGAGGCCCCCTCTCCAGGGCTCTGCAGAGATGGCCGGGATGAGGATGCTGTCTGGCCAGGGGGCCCCACTGCAGGTAGTTCTTGGTTTCCTGGTGACCAGAGGGCACTATGGCTTCCACACCCCCGGGCACAGACAGAGCCAGCCCAGGTGCTCTTGAACAAGGGTGTTGTGGGCCTTTTCACCTATCTGGAGGGACCCAGAGCCACCTTGTTCTACACCTACCCTTCTGGAAGAGTGGCCTTTACCTAGGTTGTCCTCTCAACCTCTCCTCACAGGAAAAGGCTAATGGAGGCTGCTGGGTCAGCCTTGATCACACAGTCAGACAGAACCTGCGCTGGCTCTGGCCCTGTCCAGGAGACTAGTGCCTTATTTTTGTCACTCTTTCCTAGTTCCACTATTTGTGCTTCTAAAATAAATGGGACTTGGCCACAACTGAGGTGTGTATCGATGCTGTCCTGATGCACTTCGGGGAGGGGACTGTTACTTTGCCTGGGACTTTTTTTTTTTTTTTTTCCAGTCCTGCACAAACTGTCTTTGTCTCTTCAGCCTCAACTCCAGCCAGTACCTTAGACCTCAAGCTCCTGTGTCCTGCCTCCCAGCAGCCCTGGGTCCTAACTTTCTGCCTTTTGAAATGTCCCAGGCACTGGCCTCTTCTCTTCATCCCACTGCCTCAGCCCATTTGGGACCCTGCTAATCAACAGGCCCATCAACTGGTGGCCAAAGCAGTGTCTTTTCCTATTCGGCCCCAGCCACACTGCCTGCCTGCAGTGTGCTTCCAACTGGACACTTTGCTTCCCAAGTGTGCCCACCAGCCACGCCCTCCACAGCCCAATTCAAATGCTTCCCATGCATCCTGCACCTGTCCCGCCTGATCCTGGACCCCGTGGGGTGTTGGAAGGGAGGGTTACTTTGCTTGTCCTTCCTGCCCTGGCCTTCTCTAGTCCACCCTCCGGAAGGAGCAGCTGAAGGGTCTGCATCTTAGCCGTCCTCCATGCACCCACACAGCCAGGGAGATCAGACCACAGCAGCCTGGACAATCCTTGCCCCACACTTCCAGAACCCACAGTTCTTTAAACACTAGTAGACCTGGAAAAGGTAAAAGTCTTAGTGCAGAAGGAAAAGGAAGATGAGCTTTGGCATCAGAGGGTCCTGAATGTGAATGCTGCCCCCAACATATATAATCCAAAAATTTCACTCCTCTCAGTTTTCTCATATCTAAATGCAGATCACATTGCCTGCCTCATTAGTGATGAGAAAATAGAATATGCCTGTCCTTGGCTCATGATAGTCAAGCAGTAAATCAATTCACACTTCTCAGCAAGGCTAAGAACACCTTCTCTGAGAAGCCCTCCCTGACTTCTCCAGCTCTAGTCTCTCCCTCTCAGGCTCTGGACCACTACTTAATACATGCCTTTCTCAGCAAGATAGTGCCAAGGACCCACAGAAGCCCCATACAGCATTAGTTCTGATTGTAAAATGGGGGGTTAAGTTAAACTGGGCAGAAACGAGGCAATGCATACATTGGAAAAGGCTGGGAGGTCCTCTTCAATAGAATCCCTCAGCCAGAGGCTGTGAGCTAGAGGTGGGTGTCTTGGAGCCAGCCCTACCCGAGGGCCCTGGGAGCATGTGTTTCTGGTTTCCCCTACCTGTCCTAGTTTGGAAAGTAGCAGGAAGATTTAAGAGAGAAAAGAGGACACCCTGCCCACCCCTCAAAGCTCACCAGCTCTGAGTTTGGTGTTGTGCGTGGGGTCAGGCTGGGGCTCAGGACTTGGACCTTCCGCAAGACTGGAATTGGGATCTCGACTGGTGGTCACACAAACCCACAGGCAAATAGACTTGGGTTTAAGGGTGAGGACAGTGTGGTGGGGTGGGACATTATGGTTTGGGGAAGGCCAGGATGGTAGGAAGACTTCTGCAGGGAAGAGTGGTTCTGAGTGCCCTCTACCTGCCTTCGCCCACTCGAGCTGCTGTAACAGTACCACAAGCTGGTGGCTGGAATGGGGAAAATCTGTTCTCTCACAGTTCTGGAGGCTGGAAGGCCAAGATCAAGGTGTCTGAAAGGCTGGTTCCTAGAGGCACAATCTGTTCCATGCCTCTCTCCTAAATTCTGGTAGCTTCTTTCAGCTTTTCTTGGCATCTAGAAGCATCACCCCATCTCCCCCTCCATCTTCATATGACATTCTCCCTGTGTGTCTGTCTCCACCCCTCCCTACCCCACCCCCACCTCTAAGCCCTGGTCAGGGAGGCTGAGGAGAACGGTCAGTATATGTGAGACTCAGGCACCTGCTTGGTGGTGTGGCCCGGATGGAACAGCAGGTGCAGGTCTCACTTCTTCCCTTGCTTCTCCTTCCTCTCATTGGCCTATCCCTGACTACCACCCACACCTAAGTTGATAGCAGGTGGTTCTCAGTCCCAGAAAGATCCACCACCTGGAGACAGGAGACCTGGCCCCCACCTCCCACCTCTCGGACTCACTGGACTGTGGTTCTTTCATTCTCTAGGCCTCGGTTTCCCTGCTGTGAACAAAAGGTCTGTGTGAGAAACAGCAATTGGGTACAGGAGTTCTGTATACGAATCATTGATCTGAAGCTCATGAGTGATGTGTTGTTTTTTTTATGAATCAGAACAGATTCGAGGTTATTTCTATAAAAAGATGAATTCCAGGCACTTGAATTTACATTGCCTTCCTGAGTAGAAAAGAAAGGCGCGGGGTTATATAAAGTGCACTGGGAATTTTGCATAACCCAAGGTCATCTTATCTATGGCCCATGGGAGCATGGGGACGTCATAAACGTCATGAACGGCAGAGAACTGCTGGGCTGGGTGACTGACCCCATGGTTCTACCACTGACCTCAAGAGCCCTTGTCTGGGGTCCTTCATATCCTTTTCACACCAACCTCGCCTGACTGTGCATGCTTTCAGGAAGAGGCTTCCAACATAGGATTGCCCCAACATCTTTCTCCACCTTTAAGCTTCTCCAGCCAGCCTTGGTCTGACCCCAGGAGCCACGTGACACTCAGCTGTTCTGTCCTTCCGCTAGGCCCTGCAGGCACATGCAGTAACACCAGAGGCCCTGCTCCTCCCATCCCCTCAGCTGACCCTTATTTCCAGAAGTCTCTGACCCACCTGCTGTTTGTCCTCTTTCCTCTTAACATGCGTCACCCTCCCCTATGTGCTGGACACCATTCTCCAGGTGATCAGAATCCAGATTACACCTCGCAACCCAAAACCTCTCCCTCTATTCATGAAATCTGGGATGACATTAACCTTTTAATTTCTTTCTATTTTTCTTATATGGAATTATCTTTCTAGTTTTTAAAGGTGATGTGACGTTCTAAAGTCATTCCTTCCAGTCATCTTTCATTCCTAGATCATTAGTTATATTCTAAAAATCTAAGGTTGAGGTCATGGTTAAGTCACTGATGATAAAATCTTATGAGCTTCTACAATAAATTGTACTGTGATGTAATTGCCCTGTACATAAATGTTTTCCAAATTTCCATTTCCCTAAAAGAGAGAGATTCCAAGAAATGAAATCACTGGGTCAAAGAAATTTTAAAATTTCTTACCTTTTAAAATTTAGGGACTTTTTAAAAAAATTTAGGGTATTTTTTTCTGGGTGAAAGTGATTCATTGTAGATGATCCAGAAACACAGAGAAGAACAAGCCCAAGATAAGAGTGAGGGCTCCAACTCCCCCAGGGGAAACGGAGGTGGAGCTATAAAAAGAGGAGGGCTGACCTAGTGCAGTTATGCCCCAAGTCCCTGCTCCATCAGAGCAGAGGTGCCCACCCCCTCACCGTGGAAGGATGGAAGTTTATTCTCTAGAAAGGATAAGACTGTCTCAGGCTGAGGAAACACCATGTAGATGAGGATAGGAGCTCAATTAACGAATATAGAAGAGTTCAGTGGAAGTTTAAACACTGAATGGCGAGATTTCAGCCCCCACCTGCCCCCACCATTTGATTCTCCAGAACACTGCTGGATAGAAAACTAAAGAAAGAGGATCTGATCTAGCCTGGAGGTGGGGAAGCCTGCCTGGAGGAGATGAAGAAAGGGGCTTGAGGCCAGTTGCAGTGGCTCACGCCTGCGATCCCAGCAGCTCTGGAGGCTGAGGCAGGAGGATTGCGAGTTCAAAGCCAGCCTCAGCAACTTAGAGAGACTCTGAGCAATTCAGCCAGACCCTGTCTCTAAATAAAATACAAAACAAGGCTGGGGATGTGGCTCAGTGGTTAAGTGCTCCTGAGTTCAATCCCTGGAACAAAAAAAGAAAAAGAAAGGGGCTTGATGTATTTGTTGCTCAGGGTTGTTTTCAGTATGTACTACTACCAAGAAAAAAAAATCACTTCTTCAATGGTATTGTATGAAAGTCCTCATTTTAAGGCACTTGTACTAGCTTTTTAGATTTTTTCTCATTGCTGGAGTCTAGTGCATGCTAAGCATTATTATAACTTTTAATTATTAATTATTAAACAGCAAGAAAAAAATGGTATCACCTTTCATTACTAATTTCATTAGTAATCATCACCTTGATTACTAATGAGGGTTAACATTTTAACATAAGGCTTCGACATTTTCTTTTTCTTTTATATAGATATATATTTTTCCCCATTTTCTACCAGGTTTTAGTGCTTTCTGATCATTTTGTACATGTTCTTTATAGACAGAATGCTATGGTCTGACTATGTCTTTCCAAAATTCACGTGCTGAAGTCCTAATCCTGAGAGATTATTGGTATTGGGAGGTGGGACCTTTGGCAGGTGGGCTAAGTCATGGAAGTGGACCCTCCACAAATGGAATTAATGCCCTTATTTTAAAAAAAGAAAAGAAAAGAACTGAAATGGTTCACCCCTTCCACCATGTGAGGACATCAGAAAGCTCAAAGAGGAAGCAGGCCCTCACTAGACATCAAATTTGCCAGTGTCTTCAACTTGGACTTCCAAGCCTCCAGAACCGAGGGGGAAAAAAATAAGTGTTAGTGTTTTGTTTATAAACCACATAATTTGTGGTGTTTTGTTATAGCAGACCAAGTGGGTGAAGGCAGGGAAGATATCAACCCTTTATCTGGCATATTATTAAAAAATTTCTCAGTGTGTTATTTTGTTTGCAGAAGTTTATAATTTCTATGTGGTCAAATTTATCAATTTTTCCCTTTCCACAAATAGTATGCTTTAGCCTTCCACCCTACATTAATTTTTAGCATACAATGTAAAGTGAAGTGCTAAATTTACCCTGCAAATAACCCATGATTGGGCGGGGGATGGTGTTCAGTGGTAGAGCACTTGGCTAGCATGCATGAGGCCATGGTTCCCATCCTCAGTACCACCAAAAGAATTAATTAATTAAAAAATTAAGAGTCCAGCAGTGAC